AGAACTGAACGGGTTCTGATGAGAACAGTGTAAGCGTTCAAGCAAACCACTTCTGAAGATGCAAGCCACTCGTGCTTGCGAAACGTCAAGAAGAATTTCTACCGAACGACGGCCTAAAAACCCATTAGACTCAAGGAATGGTCTCGAAAGTCTATCCTCTTTTGATACTTACTGATTGCTGGGACTTGTGTAAGGACACGGGCAGACTTGGCACTCCCTGCCATCAAAGTAGCTGCCTGGAGGGCACGTTTGAGGCTCCCTGTAGCACTGTCCCAGCCATTGGCCGGAGTTGTGTCGCACGTAGCCTTCGGCGCAGTTCTAAACAAAACGCCCATCAAACCTGCAGCCAGGGGGTCTTTTGCGTGCTTACCTCGCAGGAGGTTCCAGTGTATCCCACCGGGCACGAGCACTCTTCCACATAGTTGGCCACTCCCAGGCCGCTGTCCGGCACAGCTGCGGAGTCCATTTCGATGTTGGTCAGCGTGGTGTTGAGCAGGCCGTCGCTGCTGTAGGCCAGCTTGATGAGGATCTGGCTCACGTCCTCCAAGGCCATCATCACTTCTTCGCGCGACGCGGGCCGTGGGCGTTGACTGGCGGACTTGATCGTCCAATCACCATCGAAGAACCTCACCCGTTTTTCTTCGGCTTGGAATGGGGCTGGAGGGTCGCGCGATTCGTGCAGGAGCACGTAGTTGTTGCCCTGCAAACTCACGTCAGACCTTGCGCTATCCACACCTGCTAGTCCCCTACCGTTAGGATGACATCGGGGCCCTCCACGGGTCTGCCAGTGTTCCCATGTCGGACTGTGTACTTCAAGTAGCCTCCATAACTCTTCAGCTGGTTGCCGTGGTAGTTCTCGGGCAGGGCAAAGTATGGGACAACGTCTGGTTGGTTCAGCTCCGCATACTTGGGCAGCGAAGTCGCCACCCCATTCGCCCCAATGTTCCATAGCTGAGGCTCCACCCCCTTGTAGATGGGCTCATCCCGGATGTCCACCACTCCGGTGCGGGGGTCGATCCTCGCCCCCAGCAGCTTCAGGGCGTCGAAGGGCGGCTGGAACTGCAACACGCGTGTGTGATTGCTCGACTCCTACTTACTACTAGGGTCCGCTCACCTGGAATATGAACAAATCGGCCGATCTACAGCTGCTGCTGTGGCCGAAGCAGAAGCACTTGATGCATTCGTTCTCCACTCGGGCGTCCACGTTGAAATATCCAGCTGGGCAAAAGGCCTGGCGAGTCACCGTGAGGATGGTATCGGGGGAGGCGAACACCGTTTTAATGGCCGACAAAGCTTCGCAGGAGTAGGCGCCCTGGTCCTCGATCTGGATGTTTTCGCACGTCAAGGTTCCTGCAAACATCCCGAGTTGAGTGAGGGTGTCCGCAAAAAGCGTCCAGGGTGGTACCGAAGCCGTTTTCGCTGGTCATGCGGCACTTGGGGGGCACATGGTTCCAGTTCAGTCTCCACATGATCTGGGGAGTGGGCACCCCCACTGCTCTACAGGTGATGATGAACGTCTGGCCGGCAGCCAGCGTGATCATGCTGGGAGGGCCTTGAGCGATCACGGGGGCAGCTGCAACACCCCGCCAGAGTAAAAAGAGTGGACTTTGCCAGCAAAAAACCCACTTACTGCATCCGATCTCATCACTCTTATCGATACAGTCAGGGGCTCCATCGCAATGGAAAGTTCTGGGCACACATTGTCTGTCCCTGCAGGTGAACTGTTGGGCTCCACATTGGCCATCCGGCCCGGAAGCCTGGCAGAAGCGCTCATCTGAGCCATCGTCGCAATCATCCTGTCCATCGCACTTCCAGACGGCCGAGACGCACTTCTTGTTGTCGCACTTGAACTCGTTGGGCTCGCATTGTCCTGCGATTAGCAAATTGTTGCTGCAACTAGTTGGGGGTTGGGGAGGCGAACTTACTGCAGCGGATTTCATCGGAGCCGTCGCTGCAGTCGAAGTGGCCATCGCAGACTTTGTTGCGTGGAATGCAGTCTCCATTGGAACATGTGGACTCGTTGATGTAGCAATGGACTGGCGGTGGAATGTAGATTTCGGGAACTAGAAGAATGATTGAGAGGGTCAAAGAGTGCCTTTGGGTGTTTGAGTATTGGCACTCCAGGTACTCACCAGGGTGTCCCAAGGAGCAATGGGGAACAGATTTTAAAAATTAATGGAAATCCTGGGCTGCACCTGGATCTATTACCTGTGCCATGATAGAGAGTGTCCAGAGGCGCCCAGATGCCATACTTAAGTATGGAGGACTGTCCCTTTGGTCCTTTGCCGCCTTTCCGGACAAAGTTGGATCAACCCCCCGACTTTTAGCTGGAACGCTTACCTTTTTCCACATGCAGCTGGACGGAGATCTCAGCCCCAGGGGTTCCCAATGGGAAATCTTTGGCGACACACACATAAGTGCCCCCGTGTTCCAGCTTGATGTTGGGCATCTCCAAGCGGCCGTTGTTGTCTCTGGAGCCGGGCGGCAAAGGCGCCCCATTGGCCCGCTTCCACTCCACCCTGGCTCTGATTGGTCCCTCGTCGCGGCATTGGAACACCACCTCTTGATCTAGATGTCCATTATAATGAGTTAGACGGTGGGTCGTGATGCGTGCAAACTGTTAGTCTTGGTAGAATCATGTCAAAACACCCATGAATAACCCGAAAGTTTTTGGGAGGTTCCTCCAAAAAGCTGAATGGATTTTATACAGAGTGTTTGCTGTTAAGCTGCAACTCCGGCACTGTACAGTGGTTAGTTGGGTTTAATAATGGATTTTTTGCATTACTGCTTCAACAATGGCAGGAACAAATCCAATGGGAAATTTTAATAGAATTAACTGATTGTTATATGAATGACCGCCGCGGCAAACATCGCTTTTTCAACTTTTGCCCGCATGTATTTGTCTTTTTTGTATAATTTCCGCAAGGGAACGCAAAAACCGACCAGTTATTGCACAGTGAGGCTGTCCGAAAAAACAGTAACATGGACACATTTAAACTTTACTCCTCCCTTGATTCACTATTTACTGTCCTCCCTTAGTAAATAATAAAGAAGAAAATAGAAGCCACTTTTTGGGCTCCAAAAGTTTATTCTTCCTCGTAACACCGACTGCACTTTTGGTTCTACACCCCAACTATTTACTGAAGAGCTTCAAGCTGAAATAGAAGAATCGATTAAACTGCACAGAGCAGACCGAAATGAACCAGAAACCCGTGATTTTTCCGAACAACTGCTGTTTTTTTGGTGTTAATCGTCATGATAATAAAGCCTAAGTTTAACCTAAGGTTTTCATAATTCGCCCGAAGATGATACACACGTTTTTCAATCAGAAACTGGCTGCTTTTTGAGCCTGAACTCGCGAATGAGATTAAGGCAAATGATACAAAACATGGGAAATTATTCGATGATTTAGCCAAACAGCGGAGATGATTTTGCCCTCAATGGAGGAAAACCGTTTACTCACCAAGTCGATACCTGTCTGCTCCAGAAAACACATAGGACAAGACAAAAACAATTAGTTACATATACGGAAAGTGTTCAATCTTCTACATAAACTATGTTAGTTGGTGTAGAGAGTTTTTCTGAGGAGTGTTCAAATCGGGCTACAAATACTCACTTTCTTTGATGTTCTGTTGCGATGGGTAAGTGCGAAGTTGTAGACCATCGGCGCCAGCAGCTGCAAATGAAAATTTTAATTATAACAACGTTTTTTAAGTTGCAGAAAACGAGCCAGTGTGAGTGGTGTCAACTGTTGAAAAAGTGTTACTGGATGAGCTCAAACTGTTTGAAAACCAATACGGGTTTTAGTCGATTAGGCAGTATGAATGAAGGATTTAGTGATCGGTTAAAAAATTAATTTTAGTAGTTACTAAAACTTTTTAACAAATTAAACTGTAAGGTTTCAGCAAATTGCTCCAATTACACGCTTTCATACATGTGAAGTTGAAAACTCAAAAAGATGCTTCATTCAATCCTGCTGCTACTGTAAACCTCTGAAATCGATCGATGAATTATTTAAGTTAGATGACAACATGTGAGAATCGGCTTCTTTTCAAATGAAACTTCTGCTACTTCTGAAAGGGTAATTTTAAACTATTCTCCTCTTATTTTTGCAACAGTAAATTTTCGTCAAAAAATTCATATTTTGACTTGTAGTCCAAATCCGACATTCTACATTCTCAGATCAAATTTGAGCGCGTTCCAAACAAAAGTTAAGTTTGCCATCGCTTTAATGCTGCGAGCAAAAGAAATCATTCAGAAATCAGCATACGGCTTGAATCTGGATCTGACATTGCGGCGGACTATACTGAACATATCCAGCATCTAAAGTTGAAACTTCCATGAAAATCGAGCAAAAGACTAATTAGAAAAATCGTGTCGAAATCAAGTGATGTATTCCGATGTTTCCACCAAAGAAGCCCTGATAAGTAATACTTGGCTGCAATGTGGTCGATCATTTAGCCAACCTTTTGACAAATATCATTCTGACCCTTAAGGCAAGTTTATAATTCGACATGCATTTTCATTATGGATCAACTGCAGTGGGGGCTTTTTGAGGATTAAGGGATAGAAAATGGAGGAAAGGGCGCCGGCTTGCACAAAGCTGGTAAGGATGATTTCTAGCTTCGCAACTGAAGTTTTATGGATTCTTCTTTGTCTTTTCTTTCTTTTTTTTTGAAAACGGTAGATGGGAGCGCACCAAGAAATATCAACTGGGAACCAGTACACATTTCTGGTTTAGAAAATATCGTAGACCGAAATCTGGCCAGCAAAAGGCGATTTTAAAAGCCCCAAATTTTTTTGCTGTTTTAAATGGCTTAGAGTCAAATAATTTTTATATGTTTTATCTGGTTTTAAAGCCTCATTAATGCGCTATCAACGGGTGGGATTCATTTTGAAATCGGATGAAACCTGAAATTTTGGCGAATTTTTATTGCCATCGTAACCCGAATTGCTCAACTGTGTTCAGCATGGGGCTTAAACGGCAGGCATTCACCCCTCAACTTAAAATTTTCATCAAATTCACATGGAATCCATTGAAGCGAGTGTACGCAATAATTGATGCGAATTTCAATTGATTATTCAATTAGGATTCGACAGTTTTATGCAATTTTCAAATATTCACGTCTGTAAGGGCCTGAACAAGATTCTTCGATTTCCCTCGTAGCTCTCTTGGGGATTTACTGCCGAACAAACCAACCCACTTTTGAATCTATCTTGTCCATAAGGAGCGTCTTACGAAGGCAAAATTTCCGAAAAAAAATGTTTTTTGACCCAACAATTCTGCGGGTGAAACCCTAAGGATTTTAATAGATTGTCAAACGTGCTTTATTCTGGAAAACGAAGCTCTTTAGAGAAAAACCTTGCTCTTGATGAAATATTCAGCTAGTCCCCGTCTATGCGATAACGTTTTTTGCAGAAGCCTCCCATCAATGTTTTAGAGAAAATTCTTAAAAAAAACTTCCTTTTTTCCAATTTCCCGGATTCGAAGATTCTCTGAAGATTTAACCCACATAAAAGCCCATAGAGTTGTACAAAAAGGGCTTTCTTCCGAAGCTCATCAGGAAAATTTTTGGCAAAACAAACCAGCTCAGGTTGTCACGAATTTTACCCATATGGAGAACCTTACAAACTTTGAAAAACCGATTTTTCTTCCTGGAAAATTCAGCGGATCAAATATCTTTATGGCCCACTTTCACCCAATGGTGGTGCAGAAAAAGTGTCACTTTTCCCAAAATAACTCATCCTTGGGTACGTCGGAAGCTTTTAAAAAATATATATTCAATTGATTTAATTTAAATTAGTAAATTTGATTAAAGTTAGATGCCCAAAACTACCACTCGTCGGTTCCAAACCTACATGAGAACCCAACTTTGTATGTACAGTCTAATTCGTCGCTGATATCAAAAGGACAATCCACGTGTCCATCACACCTAAGCACCTGATTAATGCATGGCCCATTTTCACATCGAAACTCGCCTCGTTTACAGCCTGTGTTTAAAGTATGATAAACATGGTGCAGAGTGTCGTTTGCTCAGAACACTCAGCTTTGGACTTACCGCAGTTGGACTCATCAGAAGCGTCAGGACAGTTGACGCGTCCGTCGCATAGCTGGCTTCTGAGCACGCATTGATCCCCAGACAGACAGGAAACGTAGCCGAATGGACAGCTACGTGGACTCACTGTAGCTGGGGGCAAAGTGATTGGCTCTTGAGTGGTGGTAACGCAATTTGATTCGTCGGAATAATCACTACAGTCCGGACGTCCATTGCAACGCAAACGATTGTCTACACAATGCCCGTTTGAGCACTGGAACTCATGGCTGTAACAATCTACCAGAACAGAAACAAAAACAAACTGAAAACAAAAATGGTGCAGCATGCTGAAAATTAAGAAAAAACCTTAAAACAAAGTCAATAAATAAATGAATTAACTGAAGGAGAACGTGCCTCATACGTAAAACTAACTAACATAAAAAAAACTACTTTATGGACGAGGACACAACTTCGACAGGTCTAAGATATGTAAATCTCTTGCTCTAGATTCGGATTCTTCAACATCTAGCCACTGATTACGTCTAGGAACGAATTTTTCTACCTATTGGATCTGATCTACCATCTAAACTTGCCTGGGTATGCGTCGTCTATTTATCTCCAACTGGGCCCGATTGAAGCAAAATATTCCTGAGAAGGGCCGAAATTGTTCGAAACCTTCCTGTTATTCTACTAACTCAAAATACCCTGCGGGAGTTTGTCTTTTTGAAGGCCGATACGAGCATATCAATGTGTGTTTTCGTTTAAGATACGTTTTTGTGAAGAAACAGCTGCAATTTTGGTAAACCTCAATCATCATCAGCATCAAAAATGCCCTGAAGATGGTCCGATAGTCAGAAATCCGATACTTTCCTCATCAACAGCGCGAACATTTTCCGATTCACTCATAAACTCTGAAAGTTGCAGCTTTTGCTACGTCGCAGGAATTGATTTTTCGCATTGGCCGACATTGTTTCGTTATTTTGCGCAAAACTATCCAAATATATAAACTTAATTTGTAAAACCGCCTGTTGGTGGCAGAAAATTGAGACGTTCGCGGCTCATAAAATGAAAGTTCTTCTTTTTAATGCCCATACGGGCAAGTAGGTCCATATTTTTGCTTAGACGATACATTCCGGTAAAGAAACAGTCGTTATCTTGGCAAAAGTGGCTGATTTAAAAAACACTACCAAAAGTATCCTGAAGAGAGTAGAAATTCGAAACGTTCCCAATATACAGCTGGAACATTTGTCAATTTACTAGTTAACGTTGGAAGTTTCCCTTTTTGCCCGTTTGCAAAAAAAATTTTTTTTGCAATGTCAGGTGTTGATTCGTTATTTTGGGCAAAATTAGCCTGAGTTTTAACTCCCCCGCTGAAGGCTGAACACCCAAACTTTTGGGGTTTATAAAACCAACTTTTCTCTTTCCAACGCCGATATGGGCAAGTCCATAAATGGTTATGCTTAAAAAATGCATTTCTGTAGAGAAGCAGTTGCTACTTTGGCAAAAGCGCGTGATTTAAAAATAATCCTAAAAATACCCTGAAGGGGATGCAAATTCGAAACTTTCCAACTCTATAGCCCAAACCCTTCTCAATTTGTAGGTGGATTCGGGAAGATTCCTCTTTGGCCAGTTTAAGCGAAACAATTTTTTTAGTAAATTGGGGCCTTGTTCCGTTATTTTGCGCCCAAGCGCCCCATTTTAAACAACATTTCAACTCCCCCGCTGGTGCAAGAAAACCAGTACTTCTAGGGTTGGTAAAACCAACTTTTCTCTTTCCAACGCCGATATGGGCAAGTCCATAAATAGTTATGCTTAAAAAATGAATTTCTGTAGAGAAGCAGTTGCTACTTTGGCAAAAGCGCGTGATTTAAAAAAAATCCTAAAAATACCCTGAAGGGGATGCAAATTCGAAACTTTCCAAATCTATAGCCCAAACTCTTCTCAATTTGTAGCTGCACTCGGGAAGATTCCTCTTGGGCCAATTTGAGCGAAACAATTTTTTTAGTAAATTCGGGCCTTGTTCCGTTATTGTGCGCCCAAGCGCCCCATTTTAAACAACATTTCAACTCCCCCACTGGTGCAAGAAAACCCGTACTTCTGGGGTTGGTAAAACCAACTTTTCTCTTTCCAACGCCGATACGGGCAAGTCCATAAATGGTTATGCTTAAAAAATGCATTTCTGAAGAGAAGCAGTTGCTACTTTGGCAAAAGCGCGTGATTTAAAAAAAATCCTTAAAATACCCTGAAGGGGATGCAAATTCGAAACTTTCCAAATCTATAGCCCAAACCCTTCTCAATTTGTAGCTGGACTCGGGAAGATTCCTCTTTGGCCAGTTTGAGCGAAACAATTTTTTTAGTAAATTCGGGCCTTGTTCCGTTATTTTGCGCCGAAGCGCCCCATTTTAAACAACATTTCTAACTCCCCCGCTGGTGCAAGAAAACCAGTACCTCTGGGGTTGGTAAAATGAACCTTTCTTTGTCCGACGCCGATATCGGGAAGTCAGCAGGTGCTTTAGTTTATATGAGCCGCTTTTGTAAAGAAACCGTTGACTTGTTGACAAACCCGGGTGGTAAAACTGCCCCCAAAAATCCCCTGAGGAGGACAGAAATTCGAAACTTTCTAGGTTTGTAGCAGCAATATTCCCCCATAGAAAAACAGAATTTAAATCAATTTTGAGTAAAAATTCGCCACCAAGAAGAAAAATAGACGGCATACCACAAGCCAATGATCAATCGCAAAAAGTACATAGAACACTGATCTAGAAATGCGGTTCTAACCGAAGCAGTTTTGCTCGTCAGAAAAATCTTTGCAGTCGTAGACGTTGTCGCATTTGAGCGCCGTTTCGATGCATTCGGAACCATCCTCGCACTGGAACCATTGCGGTTCCAGACATGTCTCTGGCCGGCGCGGCCCGAAAATAACAGGTTTTCAAGTTTTCAAGTAATCAAGCATCGACAGCCATTTCCCCAGGCTGTAGGTGGGCCGAAAAAGCCACTTACCACATCCCTCCTCATCAGCCCCGTCCGAACATTGACGAATGCGATCGCAGCGCTGACTGTTTGGTAGGCAGGTGTTGTCTCTTTCGCATCTGAAGTCGTTGGACGCACAGTCCGAGCGGCTGCAGTTGGCCTCATCTGATCCATCCAAACAGTCGTAGACCTGGTTGCAGAGCTCGCTTGATGAAATGCAATGACCATCAGGGCAGCGGAACTGCGACGGCTGGCATTCTGTGGGAAAAACACATCAGACTTCAACTTGGACTTTTTGTAGGCAAAGCCCAGTTGAGTGCACTGAAAGCTTCATTGCACTGAAAGCTTCATCGCAATGATCGCAATGATCGCAATATCTACAGCCTAGTGAAGCCATTACCGCAGTTGTCTTCGTCTGCTTTATTAAAAGGACAATCAGCTGGGCCATCGCATCTGAAGTCCATGGAGATGCAGTGTCCATCGCCGCAGTTGAACTCATTTTCCCCGCACTGTTTGGCTGTTGGAAACGCATGAGATTAGATCCAGATCTAACTCAAGCATGCGGTTAAACAACTCTTTGCCAGGGTTAACAGACGGAATTGTCAACAGAGTAAGTGGGAGAGAGAAGAGCAAGCAAAACCACCACAAAAACCTCCAAAGTTCATACTTTGATTTTGCGATCCAGTCTCGGGACATCGGCTCTCATCCGCGCCATTCTGGCAGTCGTACTGGCCGTCGCATCTTTGGCTCATTGAAACGCACTCGCCATCCTTACAGTCAAACTGCTCCGGTCGGCAGCCTGATTCAAGCATCATTCACATTAATTCTTGGGGTTGGGGGGCGAACGCGAGCAACAACCCACAACCATTCAAAGGAAAGTCATCAAGCTCAGAAGAGTGTTAAGGCCAAAAGTCCCACTCGATTAGACTGCGGTTAAGACTCAGGGAGAGTCCAAAGCTTCCAAGCCCAACATACCGCAGTTCTCCTCATCAGAGCCATCAAGACAGTCCGCCAGGCCATCGCATCTGAGGCGCTCATCGACACAAAGGCCGCTAAGGCAACGGAACTCGCCAATCCGACAGTACTCGCAGCTTTCTTCATCAGTACCGTCTTCACAGTCGTACTGGCGGTCGCAACGCACTCCAGTGGTGCAACCCCCGTCCCGACAACGAATTTGACCGGGTAAACAGTGCTCTTCGGGCCTGGGGAGGGATTGTGGTGTTCTCGAAGGATCTGTGGAGAAACCAAGGCTCACTCACGGGCTCAGGGCTCTTCTCATTCACCTCTCAGCCAGTGGATTAGCAAATGCTTCAAGTGGGAGGAGTTAGACAAAATAGGGCTTGTGGTGGCAAGAATATACTTACTCTGTCCCAGGAGCAGGCAGATAATCTAAGTTCAAGCGAGAAGCTTCTTTGAGAATGCTTGCGGGTAATGTGAGCGAAACGAGCAGGAGCAGAAGAGGAAGGAGTTACATTATTAAGCTGTTGCCGATGGGAACCTGCCTCTGATCTTCCACTAACTGATGGGTATGGCATCTGCAGATTTGCCAGAAGGCCCGCAAAGTTCTGAGACGAATTGTCAACGCTTAAAGTGGCGAGGAGTAGGGAGGAAGAACCAAGAAAGATAATAGATAAACGTCAGTCCCGAAATAACCTGAAGATCAACAACGATTACCGCAACAAAAACCCCACGTTAAGCTAAAGTTTAAGTTTCTTCTGGCCGCGGGGTTGGATTGAAGCCACCCCATCACTTGCCTCTTCAATATCTTAACTAGTTGCAGATTCTTAATGGTTCTGCTGCAAAATCGAGGCAGAAACCCAATGAAAACTGGGAGCGAAAAGCCAAACAGTCGGTGGTTTAAAACGACTGCTCAGAATGCCTTGAAGATGATCCACATTCGAAACTTTTCACATGGATAGCCCAGACTTTTCTTAATTTATAGCTAAACTCTACAAGATTCAATTTTGGCCAGTTTGAAGAAAATATTTTCTTTTATAAAATGCAGGCCCTTTCTGGTCTTTTTGCGCAAAAGCGTCCACATTTAAACAAACGTTTTAAACTCCCCTGCTGGTGTAAGAAATCGAATACTTCTGGGGTTGATAAAACCAACTTTTCTTTTTCCGACGCCGATATGCGTAAGTCAACAGGTGCTTTAGTTTAGAAGAAACGTTCTTGTAAAAAAGCAGTTGCTATTTTGGAGTGTGTGATTTCAAAATTTCCCAAAAATTCCCTGAAGAGGACACAAATTCGAAACTTTTCATATCTATTGCCCCAACATTTCTGCATTTATTGCTAAACTCGCCAAGATCCCATTTTGGTTAGTTTGAGAGAAATGTATTTTTTAAGAACTTCAGGCGTTTGTTTCGTTAGTTTGAGCAAAAGTGTCCAAATTTCAGGACATTTATGAACTCGCCGGCTGGTCTAAAAAAATCAATGCTTCCGAGAATTATAAAACCAACTTTTCTCTGTTAGATGCCGATACGGGCAAGTCCACGTGTCTTTTTGTTTAAAAGAGACTTTCCTCTAAAGAAACCGTTCCTAATTTGGCAAGTGTGTGATTTCAAAAATTTCCCGAAAATTCCCTGAAGAGGATACAAATTCGAAATTTTTCATATCCATTGCCCCAACATTTCTGCATTTATTGCTAAACTCGTCAAGCTTCCATTTTGGTTAGTTCGCAAGAAATGTATTTTTTAGAAATTTTAGGCGTTTGTTTCGTCAGTTTGAGCAAAAGTGTCCAAATTTAAGGACACTTATGAACTCCCCGGTTGGTCTAAAAAAATCAATACCTTTGGGAATTATAAAACCAACTTTTCACTGTTAGATGCCGATAAGTGCAAGCCCACATGTCTTTTTGTTTAAAAGAGACATTCCTCTAAAGAAACCGTTCCTACTTTGGCAAGTGTGTGATTTTAAAAATTACCCAAAAATTCCCTGATGAGGATACAAATTCGAAACTTTTCATATCCATTACCCCAACATTTCTGCATTTATCGCTAAACTCGTCAAGCTTCCATTTTGGTTAGTTCGCAAGAAATGTATTTTTTAGAAACTTTAGGCGTTTGTTTCGTCAGTTTGAGCAAAAGTGTCCAAATTTAAGGACACTTATGAACTCTCCGGTTGGTCTAAAAAAATCAATACCTCTGGGAATTATAAAAGCAACTTTTCACTGTTAGATGCCGATACGGGCAAGTCCACATGTCTTTTTGTTTAAAAGATACCTTCCTCTAAAGAAACCGTTCCTACTTTGGCAAGTGTGTGATTTCAAAAGTTTCCCGAAAATACTCTGAAGGGGTACCAATTCGAAACTTTTCGCATCTATAGCCCAAACATTCCTCCACAACAAGTAAACTTTGCAAGATTGCATTTTGACCGGTTTGAAAAAAATCGGTTTTTTGCAAATTCAGGCCTTTGTTTCGCTATTTTGAGCAAAACTGTCCTAAAAAAAACATTTTTTAACTCCCCGGCCGGTGTGTGAAAATCGATACTTCTGGGGTTGATAAACCCAACTTTTCTTTTTCCCTTGCCCATATGGGCAAGTCAACAGGTTTGTTTAGTAGAGACGTTCTTGTAAAGAAACAGTTACTCTTGTTGGCAAAACTGGCTGATTTGAAACTGCTCCCAAAACCCCCGGAGGAGGGTGGAAATTCGAAACTTTCCAGGTCGGCAGCAGCAAAATTGCTCGATATATTCGCATACTGGACAAGAAAAATTAAATAACCGCGCTTCAAGTTCCAGGTAAACTGGGAAGAAAACTGCTGCATCATCTTCAAAAATTTGGTTGTTGTTGATCTTCTGGTTATTTTGGACTGTCGTCGAAAGGAATTTGGCCCTGACGTTTCCCTACCACACACGACCGGCATCTTCAGAGGTGTGTCGCCTCCGAGGCGACCACCTCAACCAAAGCGCTAAAAAGCCACAAACTTCGTTTAATCGAAAATTCTCTCTATAGAGGATCTTCTTGACTCTTCTGACCTCAGGGTCACAATGTAGAGATCTTTTGAGTCTTTTTTCTGACAGTTCTCCAGAAAAATCGAGGAGGAACCCAAACTGAAACAGGGAGCAAATAGCCGAAGAATCGATGACAATGATCTACAAGTGCTACGTGAATCAGCCAGGCTCAATGATCTGAAATAGTCCTCGGGGCAAGCTGGAAGAGAAAAAGCCTGAAACCGCAAAAGCCAAATCTAATACCCACCACTGCCGTAGGCGTCGCATCCAGCTTCATCAGAGAGATCTTGGCAATCTGGAAGACCATCGCAGCGATAAGCAGCAAGGACACAAAGACCGTCCAGGCAGGTGAATTCGCTAGAAGTGCAGCCCAGCTGCGCATCTGTGCATGAAGCGGTGCATTCGATAAGCCAGAATGGGTTAAAATGGTTCTATAGTTAGTCTAGGTCTATGGCTGGCGCTGGACTCAGCGCTTGAAACCGCCACCAACTCAGCAACAGCTCAAGCTAGCTATCAATCTATTTATCTATCTAGTCTAAAGCGCTTCTAAAGCTACAACACATTGAGAGTCAGCAGTGTTCATCTGGCTGAAACAGGGCGATCAATTGGGGCGCAGATTTCGAAACCAAAAAAATTTAAAAAAATTGAAAATGCTCACACATACCAGGCGCCGAAGTGGGGCAATTCTCCTCGTCACTATTATCATCGCAATCTTTTATTCCGTTACATCGCTTGTACCCCATAATACAAAACCCTTCGGAACACTTAAAGCCTCCATCCGGACAGTCCTGTGCTCCTAGACGAACTTTTGGAAGAAAAACCTATCAGAAATCGACCAGTTTCCCATCTCCCTCAACAAGACCGTGCGTGCAGTTAGTCTTCGTGCTTCTCTGTACAATGTGTGCAACTCCCCGGATGTTCTTCATCTATTTACAAACGCCCAGAAGAGTACCAAATTAGAGGCTTCAAGGCATCTGAGCGATCTCCCGACTCTGGTGGAAGCCTCTAATTTCATACACTCCTTCCACTTGAACATCCGGGACTTGATTGATTTGATGGTTGAGCCTTTGAGTAAACTCTRGTTGCACACTATCAGTCCCAAACATTCTCAAGGCGAACTTTTATCAGCAACTTGTGCAGGGAATGAATCTGGAAGAGTTGGGTTTTGGGGGTTTASAGTCTGCACCAACTGAGTGGGAAAACCACTAGGAAAGTTCATTAGCAAAGTTTCAACTGCAGGAGACTTCAAGTGGAGCAAGAGGCAAACCCCTACTCCAAAGCAGAAACTGGTAAGCTAAAAGACCTGCGCCAGTGTTGGCAGAAGAAGTCGCTCTATTCAATCTACACTGAACTTCAGAAGATAGCAGATTTTATAAAGGAATGGAGTCAAGAAGTGACTGAGGTTGCAACCTATGTGGAAGTCGCGCAGAGGACGTTAAGGTGTCCATCCATTCTTGCGTAATCTTGCTGAGTCTTCAGGAAAATCAGCTCTTCGAGATGGCAGTTTCAATCCTCCACTTCCAGCACGGTGCGTTCCTCCAAAGGTTCATTTGGATGATCAAACAAAACCCGCTGACATACAACACACAAGTGCAAGCAAAACGCCCGATTTTGATCGGTTTAACTGAAAAATTACCTTGATGAAGCTGAAAATTGATAAACCAAACGCAATTTGCCACGTGTTCATCACTTTTATCCTCACAGTCAACGGTAGCGTCACACACGCTGCTTTTGTTAACGCATTTAAGGCCGTCCTCGCACATCCAATCAGCGGCCCCGCATTCCACTGTGCGCTCTATTTCATGCAACATGCCAAAAGAACTCATTTTCTATGCATGCCAGTGTTAGTAGGTGGATGCGTGTGTTCTATTAGAGCATTAGAGGTTGAAGATGAACAACAGACAGAAGCTGAAGCAGCTGAAATGATGATGTGATGGGCCAACAGTCAGATGATGGTAGAACAAGGTGGCGAAGAAGAGCAAGGACAGTTCACTGGATCGATTAGATCGTTGGACTCAGAAGGACAGTCACAAATCGGCCGGAAACACACTGAAATGAGTCTCCCCACATGGACGAAGTGGTTGGGAGAAGAGCCTTACCAAGACAATCGTACTCGTCGGTTTCGTCGAAACAGTCAAATATGAGGTTGCATCGCTTATCCTCCGAGACACATTGGCCATTCTTACACCTAAATTCCGTGGTATTGCATGAGGTTGCTGCAGTCGAATGGAGAAAATCAGAATTCAATCGCCTTTACCAGGCCGGAGTCAACCGCATGGGGCTCCACAGACAGTTTAAGAGCCTCATGCGGTCGCTCTGATCTTAACCTAATCAATGGTAACTAGTGCTGTTTTTGAGGCGATTAGCGTTTTTGTTCAGTTTTTTCAAGTTTCCTAATTTCGTGAATGAACCGAGTATTTTCATGACTAATCAGCGTGTTCCTTATCACTTAACGAGATTCAGTAAGGAGATTTTTCTCATGTTTTTTGAGGCGAAGCATTTTGTGCAACTGCATTTTTTGAGCCAAGTTTGCACACATTTGGAAAATCGCTTTTCAGTTGGAGACTCTCAAAACTTGACGGCTTGTGATCGTTTATTGAGATTTTTGTGCCTTCGACTGAAGCGTTTTTCGCTAAATTTTGGCAGTTGGGCTCATTTACCTGTTTCGGACTGAGAATTATGGATGGAAATTGAGTTTCCCTGGAGAAATTTCCCTTCTTGGATGATACTTTTTCAAGTATTTCACAGTTTTAWTTTGYYCGCGGGTGGAGGTTYACATTTTTAAACACAGGCTCGTTTGATTAGGGAAAAAYAGCTTTTCAAGGTAGATTTTGGAAATTTTTCAAAATACAACGGGTTGCAGGAATTGAATGAAACTTTTTCCCGTTGAGCTCCGGGCATCGGYAAAWAACGTAAAAAATTTTGATAATTTGYTTTGCCCAGGGGAGGCGCAATGCATTTTKWTACACAACCAAACCTGGGTGTTTGYCAAAGGAAAATGAGTTTTTGGGGAGAATTTTAAAATTTCGCACAATTAATTGGCCGATGGGAATTGCATGAAACTTTTCGCATATTAAGCGACAGTCACCTTCTATAAACGTTGAAAATTTTCCAATAGTTTCTTGTCCAGGGGCGGAGTTAAGAATTTTTAGAGCAAACTCGTTTGATTTGAACAAACATTTTTCCAGGAAGAATTCAACATTTTCGCAAAATTTCATTAGTTGTCGCAATTGCATGGAATATTTCATATATCAAGCAAAATATATCTTCTGTAAACGTGGAAAATGTCACAATTCCGCCTTGTTCCGGGGAGGAGTTTAGCAATTTTAGACACAAACGCGTTTGACTTAGGAATATCAGTGAGTTTTTCAGGAAGAATTTTCACTTTTTGCAAAATTCAATGGTTTCCGGAAATTGAATTCTTCTTTGCGTACTTTGAGCGCAAGGTTTCTTCGATAAATCTGGAAAATTGCCGAAATTGGTCGTGCCCAAAAGTGGAGTTATGCATTTTTAGTGGCAGACTTGAGATTGGTTTAGGAAAATTACATTTTCGGAAGACTAAATTTTTTTCATGGTTCATAAGAATCGAACGATTTTTGTTCCATAGTGAGCTACAGGGATTTGCTATAAATCGGGAAAATTTCACAACTTTGTCTTGTTCAGGGGCGGAATTACGAATTTTTAAAGACCGCCATGTTTGACATCAGAAACGTAAGATTTTCAAAATTTATCAAAAAAAAACCGCGGGTAGGAATTGAACAAAACTCTTCGCACATTAAGCACAAGGCATCTACTAGAAATCGTGAAGATTTCACATTTTTGCAATGTCCGGAGGCGCAGTTATGAATTTTTAGAACCAGGCTGTTTCATTTAGAAAAGTGAGTTTTTGCGGAAGTAACTTAAAATTATGCAAATTTTA